AAGCGATAAAAACTTATAAATAAAAGTATGAATATATTATATATTTTTTTACTGTGTTTACATAAGCGGTTTTAAAAATAACATCTGAAAGTTATCTAAATGATTATCGCCATATAATTTAATATTTATTTAGATATATTTATTTAAAATAATATCATCTGTATTTTATCTAAGATAAATTTACATTATTTTCATCGCATCTTCATGTAACTAATTTTAAAGTCATCTAAGCAAAACACTGTCAATGGTAATAAAAAGAAGAGCTTCTCACAAACTAAACTTTGTAGAGTTAAAATATTATCAAAACTACATTCTTCGGTTAATTTCAGGTAGAATTCACTTTAGAATTTTAATTTAAAGCTTTAAAAGATGGCAAAAATTGGGACATGAAAAAAATGATGACCTCCTTCTCTCTCGGCATTTTTGTTGAGAAAAAATCGTTTTTAAATTGACCACAGAATCTGATGGCACATGCTCCATATATCTATTTTTTTCAGTTACTATATAATCGAAATATGCAATATTTAAAAAAAAAATATTCGATCTGGACGCAGACTCGTCGCGACTCATTAAGAATCTTTGAGAGCCTGCGTCATTTTACTTAGATGAAAAAAAAAAAAAAAAAAAAAAAAAAAAAAAACTCGCATGGTAGGGTAAAAGTTAGGGTGGCAAAAGTTGCCTCATCAGGCAACATTTCCTGCATTCGGAACTTGTAATAACAAACCTGTCGTGCCACGAAGAGCGGCACAGGGGTGAAATATGACCTATTTTCGTTACTCTCCGGATTGAAAGTATTTCCGACGTCTGAGGGTTAAGCTAAGGCGGGAAACGTCGGATCGAAACGCTCCCTCGTTGCTGGGGGAAGGTGAAAAACGGGGGAGAGAGGGTGGTTCGTCGTCATCGTCGTCGTCCTGCTATAACGTGGGCTGACGTGTGTCGATATATAGAGACAGTCGCGCGCGTGTTTCGGTCCAGCTGCACCAGGGTCTCCCTGGGACCATAACTCGATATCTCCCGGAAAATCCCCCTATCATGCTTTACAGCCCATACAACGTCCGAATTGAATGCCGGCCCAAGACTGCGACCACTTGGAAATATTACGCGCCAATTCGTCCTCCTTTAAGCTTCCCCATACAGCACACAAGTTTGCAGCAATATTGCAACAACATTGCAATATTGTACATTGCATAGCAATATTGCAAAAATATTATATAGGCATGAATTTGCAATATAGTTTACACAACGTTGCAGCAACATTTCAGAAATATTATGAAAATATTGTAAAATTCACGCAATAAAAAATATTAGGTACAGAACCCATACAGCACACAAGTTTGCAGCAATATTGCAACAACATTGCAATATTGTACATTGCATAGCAATATTGCAGAAATATTATATAGGCGTGAATTTGCAATATAGTTTAAACAACGTTGCAGCAACATTTCAGAAATATTATGAAAATATTGTAAAATTCACGCATAAAAAATATTAGGTACAGAACCCAAGCAATATTGCAACAACATTGCAATATTGCTGCAAACTTGTGTGCTGTATGATTCTGTACCTAATATTTTTTGCCTGCATTTTATTTTTAAAATATTTCCGAAATGTTGCTGCAACGTTATTTAAACTATTGTATATTGCAAATTCAAGCCTATATAATATTTCTGCAATATTGCTATGCAATGTACAATATTGCAATGTTGTTGCAATATTGCTGCAAACTTCAAAATTTCAAATTGTACATGCAATGTACAATATTGCAACAACATTGCAATATTGTACATTGCATAGCAATATTGCAGAAATATTATATAGACGTGAATTTGCAATATAGTTTAAACAACGTTGCTGCAACATTTCGGAAATATTATAAAAATAAAATTTACGCAAAAAATATTAGGTACAGAACCATACAGCACACAAGTTTGCAGCAATATTGCAACAACATTGCAGCAACATTTCAGAAATATTATGAAAATAAAATTCACATTATAAGTACAGAACATTTAGTCCGATCATGTATTTGGCACATTTCTAACAATCCAATAGTAATATTACATATATATTTTATTGCATTATTGCTACAATATTATAGAACAATATTTCTGAAAGCGGACATGTTACCGTTACTGCAGCCTTGCAGCAAGATTGCTGCAACATTTCACAATGTTTATGCAATGTTGTAATATTGCAATAAAATGTTGCTACAATGCTGCTACAATGCTGCTACAATTTTGTTGTGCTGTATGGGTCCGATTACGAAATTTGCGCAACGTCGCGCTTTATGATTTTAAAATTAGCTAGGTAAAAATGAGATAAAAATATATAAATTTTTGGCTGGCTTTTTTCGACCCAGCATCATCATGCAATATTGGTTACTCATATATATACAGGGTGATTCAGGAGAAAAGGTAAAGATTTTAGTGGGTGATAGTATAGGTAAATGCGAACAAAAAATGTCCTATTAACATGTGTCTTATTTTTATTGGTTACAATAAACCACTCACAGCAGAAAAAAGTCAAAGGCACAAACAAAAGTAGACGCAAATGACTAAGTTCAAAGTTGATTTTCAAAAATGCCACCTCCGACTTCAATACACTTTCTAATTCTTTTGACTGTACTACGTGTAGCTCTTCTGAGGTCATCTTGACGTTCTTTTATGAGAGCAGCAGTATTCATAATTCGAACGATAAGACACATGTTAATAGGACATTTTTTGTTCGCATTTGCCTATACTATCACCCACTAAAATCTTTACCTTTCCTCCTGAATCACCCTGTATATATATATATGAAAAATTACAGATTATATTAATTTTAGATAAAATATGTTCTTCTATATTTTCAAGATTGGAAATGTTCCACTGAACGTGAAATTACACGTAGGAAATGCTAGTAATGTATAAATATAATAATGTTATAAATCAAATGGATAAATGGTTATATAAAATAAAATTTTAATAAAGTATAAAATACTAAATTCAAAATTACATGTGATTTTTGCATAAAAAGTGATTTTACCTATATTTTTACATTAATATGTATTTTCACTTTAAAAATGTGAAAAAATTACAGTGAATTATGTAATTTTTCAGTTTTGAATAAATAATTTCGATGTAAAAGTATATGGTTTTTTTCAGTGCAGATAAGATAAAGATTTTGTTTTAAACATATCTTGATAAAAGATAAAATTATATGGCAATTCGTCTAGATAATTTCCAGGTAATATTATTTTGAAAATTGCTTATGTAAACACAGTTATAAAAAAATGTACATTATAAAAGGAATATATTTATACTTTTATTTATAAGTTTTAATCATTTACTACTTAAGTATTTTTATGTGCTATGACTCCAAACCAAATTATCTGAAAATTATTCGAGATAATTTGATAAAGATGACACTTTTTCATCTAAAATGCACACAGATATAGATAATACATATTTTTATTATCTATATAAAGATAAGATGCCAAAATTTTTTCTAAATGATCATCTATATAATTTTATTTAGATAACAGCAAACATTGACTGTACAAAAACATTCAACTAAGTAAAATAAAGAGTTCTCTAAAAAAATCTAGGAGCATATAAAACCCTAAAGACTTATAAGAGTTCTGGGGAAATAAAAAGGATACTTTTGAAATTTAAAGAATGTCTTTTGTTAAAAATATATATTTAAAGTAAAAAACTATACACATTAGATTTTTTATTTTCGATTTAAGTTTCTTTTCAAATTTCTATTTTCTTTCTTTAACCTATAAAAATATGAAATGCAATAAAGTAATTCCTAAATTATAGTTATTAGTTTAAAAGTGTTCTAATTTTGCTTAAAATAATTTTAGTAGAAATTTCCTTCATGAATCAATAACGGCAATGTAAAAATAAAAATATCTATTTTTTACTTTAAATAATTTATCAAGGCTAAATTTTGACCGCACGATTATTTATAACGGCACAACAATTCTGTTTTAATATTTTCTGCAATTTTTATTTTGGTATTATTATTAAAAAAATATATTTTAATAAAAAAATATATATTTCCATCTATTAAAAGTATGACTATTAAAAGTATGATTTTTCTATATTTACTAGACTTCTATAAAATCCTCTTAAATAAATAAGCTTCGTGCTGTTAATTCACAGCGTTTCAAATCGATTAAAACGGAAATAATTAACGTCGCACGTTATGTCATAGTTGTGTAATGCACTTGTTGGGAATTTCTGCGCGCACCAGTCAACGAATTAACATTTCTATCGCCGAGGAATATACAGTCCCAGGGTGGAAAGACTTTCCGCCGTCCGTATTTTAATCTCTTACTCAAGATTAAAATTTCAATGTTGGTCTTTCATTTTTCACAACTAGGACGTGTATATTAGAAAAAGTTTGACATTGCGCGCACGCGCGATAATTTGTGTCTATGTCTTATAAATTCGACGCGTGGTTCCCAATATTTTTCCATTAGTCTAAACTAATATTTCGAGTCATATATTTGCCGCGTGACACATATAGTTTCATATGTCCGTTGCTGTAAATATAACCATACCGCAACATGACCGCACACATACACAGGGTGTAACTAAACTAAACGAAGCACATCATCGGATGCAAGACGACAAATTAAATCGAAAAGTCCTGAGCCATTTTTTAATCTGAGCTTTATTTTTCACGCTATAAATTGTGCACCAATCAGCGCGTGACTACAACGGAAAACAGCGTAGGCCCCGCCTACTAAGGCCTTAGTAGGCGGGGCCTATGCGTTAATTGGCACACTTTAACAATTTATAGCGTAAAAACTAAAGCTCAGATTAAAAAATGGCTCAGGACTTTTCGATTTAGTTTGTCGTCCTGCATCCGATGATGTGCTTCGTATACCTTTGTTTAGTTACACCCTGTATATGTATGTATTAAATGCGTTAAATCAATAATATCGCAATCATTCATTCAGTAGCAGCTTCCGTGCGGGGACAAATATTTACGGATTTATATTTCAGAACACGACAGGATCAAGATATCCCGATAAAGCATGATGCTCGCTAAGTGTCTCACTCGCGAGATTAATGGCTCGTGTTTGCTATCGAGAGTACAACGTCGCGTAAGCTCAACCGCGGCTTGTACCGTCGAGCAGAGTGAAATAAAGAACTTCAACAGCGAAGTGCAGGATGCGAGGCCGACCAAGGATATTCCCGGCCCGAAAGCGTTGCCCCTGCTTGGCAATTGGTTCAGATTCATACCATATATAGGTAAGAGATATCTCATCTCATCTCTGATATGTAGCTCGAGAATTTTTTTTCTTTATCTCTCTCTCAACTCTTACTGCAAATCGTTCTTTCCAGCTCGGATTAAAGTACGAAATTTTAAACGAAAATCGGATAACATAAAATAACATCTGCAATAATATTAAAGAGCGAGGAACTTATTTAATCCTAAAAATGTAATCCTACATCCACATATCATCTGTCTCACATATTTGAAAAATATGTTATTTTTTATGGACACATTTTTAATTTTAACATGCGAATATGTAGTAAATGTTTGGAAATCACGGAGTTTTAGGAAAAAATCGGACAAAAGTTGTAAAGTTTCGAAGCGGCGCTTTTCAGTTAAATTTTTTTTATATATTATACTTTAATTTGTTTATTAAATAGTATTTGAATTATACAATTAATCTAAAATCTGAAACGTAAAATATTCATTTTTATCGATCTTGCTTCAAATTACATACCTTTTCTTTAAAAAAATTACATGTTTTCTTTACATCGATTGATTTCTCTCATTATTCTGTGTATAAAATATTCAAATATGATCGACGAAAAATTGAATATTTTATGAGATATTTCATAGTTTATGTAAAATCATGTGAAATTAAAATATAAAATATCTCGCACAAACTCTGTTTTAAACCCCTTATAACTTTTTTATGCCGAATATTATTAATTTAAACACATTAATTTAAAAATATTTTCTTAAAACTCTGTAATTTTCAAATATTTGCCTGTTAAGATTAAAATAAATTATGCCGTATATGTATCTACAGAGTATTCCTAAATAAGTAAGAAAGTATTTGAGTACGAGATATACTGGGTGTCTCATAAAGACCGGATCAACACTTAAGGATCTGGTACTATTTGGAGGTGATTTTTTCTCAGCAAAAATGTTGAGGCATTAATAATAATTTTCGAGTTACAAGCGATTGAAAATAAAAAAGGGTTTCTCATCAACTAAGCCTTGTGGAATTAAAATATTAATAAAATCACATTCTTCAGTTAATTTCAAGTAGAGTTCATTTTAATACATTTTTTTAAATTTAAGGCTTATTTACAAAGATACTCGATGACAAAAAATCACGACTTCCTTCGACATTTTCGCTGCAGAAAAATCATCTCCAAATGATGTCAGAAATCTATATAATTGTATATCTATACAATTTAATTACAATAAAAAAAAACACAGGTGAATACGGCGCGCACAATAATATGACAACGCAATTTCGGATGCTGCGTGACCAATATGGCGACATCGTGAAACTGGACGGTATAATAGGTCGTCGAACGAGCATCTTATTATTCTCGCCGGAATTATGCGAGAAGATGTATCGAGTGGAAGGCATGTGGCCGATGCGGATTAGCATGGAAAGTATGCATTACTATCGCGAGAATAGGAAGAACATCTACGACGGACAATACGGTCTCGGAACAAGGTAAGAAAGAGATAGGAGCTGTTTTCCCTTGGAAAAAAGCATTTTCCGTCTTTTACAACATCCATAATCCTCCTTTACGACTGCTTATATTTATCCACCCATCCGCATATTTTTATTTTCACAGTCCGTTATCACGCAAGATGTATATAAGAACGCAAAAGCGTAAGTAATTTTCTCAAGCTATATCCTCAATTTCCCCAAGACTTTTGTAATATATTACACAACCAGTGTTGTGTTTAGATAATTTTAAAATATATCTGGATAAAAGATAAAATTATATGGCGATTTATCTAGATAATAATTTTCAAAACTAGACGGAAAAAAACCATGTACTTTTACATGGAAATTACTAGTTCAAAACTCGAAAAGTTACTTGCTTATTACTATAATTTTTTTTCCATTTTTAAAGTGAAAATACATAGTAAAAATATATGTAAAATATAGGTAAAATTATTATTTTTATGCAAAAATCGTATGTAATTTTAAATTTACTATTTATACTTTATTTGAACTTTATTTATCTATTTTATTTATAACATTATTTTATAGCATTTATACATTACTAACATTTCCTATGTGCAATTACATGTTCAGTGAAATATTTTTAATCTTCAAAATATTTAAGAATATATTTCATATAAAATTACAAATCTATAATCTTCCATTAAGTATCAACATTGCATGATTATATGCTGGGTCGGAAAAAACCTAGCTTTATCATGTAATTTTACATAAATATTTTTTCCAGTGTGCTTATGTAAACACATTGCAGCTATAAAAAAATCGTAAATTATAAAAAAAGAATTCATATTTTTCTTTATAAATTTTTATCGCTTACTGCTCAAGTTCTACGCTATTTAAGTATTTTGATGTGCTATGATTCTAAACCAAAATTATCTGAAAATTATTCTAGATATATTTTAGTGATATTTGCAGATATAGCTAATACATATTTTTATTATCTACATAAAGACAAGATGACGCCAAAATTTCATCTAGGTGATCATCTATACAGGATGTCCCAAAATTATCGGACACTGTTAATAGGGAGATTCCTAAGATTATTTGGAGACAATTTTTGCTCAGCAAAAATGTCAAGGGAGATAATGATTTTTTGTCATCATGTATCTTTGTAACTAAGCCTTAAATTAAAATTCTACTAAAGTAAACTCTATCTGAAATTAATTCAAGAATGTGATTTTATTAATATTTTATTTCCACAAGTCTTAGTTCGCGAAAAACCCTTTATTTTCAACCACAATTATTGGTGCCTCGATATTTTTGCCGAGGAAAAATCGTCTCCAAATAACCTTTCCCTCTTAACAGGGTGTCCGCTAATTTTGGGACACCCTGTATAATTTAATTTACATAACAGCAAACACTGATTACAACTTATTTAATAACGTTACACGCTTATTTTCTACGGACGGATCCCGGGTAAGTTACGTCCCGTCGAAATGTTAAATTAATAATGCTCCATTAGCTGTTCGATTAGAACGCGAATCGATATCTCGAAAATTCGTCAAAATACGAGGACACGAGCTGACGAAGCAACCCTTGTCCCCGTCGCCGCCAACACACCCTCCCTCACTTTCTCCCCCCCCTCTCTCTCATGCTGGTCACTCTTGCCTATCTCTCCTGCACGGTCGATAGTTCACCAAGTATACAGAGGACCACGGAGATCAAACGCGTAGGCCCGCGCAAATTGCGTCGACGATGCGCTCCCCATGGCTGAAAAAAAGAGCCCCTTCTCTCTGTAGTCCAGTAAAATTAGACTTGAAAAGGACAAAACTTCATAAAATTAGGAACAAGCTGAATTGTTGTGGAGACCTTTATTTCGACGTTCTAATGAAATCCTGAAAAGTACCTTTCATTTCATCCAGGGCGTTTTTTTATGGGGGAGTAAATTTTAGTTTCTTGTCATTGTCTCGAAAACTATCAATTTTTCGAGAAAAAAGGTTATTATCAAAATTATAGCTCATAAAATTCTCTACAAAAAAGGTCATTATACTTTTTTTCGTACAACCAATCGTTTTTTAATAAAACGATTAGTAAAGTTGCAATGTCTCTAGAATAAGAGTACTGGGCGCGTTTTTTTCGCTCTATATCTTCGAAACGGTTAATTTCACGAAAAGTAGTATAATGACCTTTTTTGTAGGGAATTTTATGAGCTACAATTTTGATAATAACTATTTTTCTCGAGAAATTGATAGTTTTCGAGATAATGGCACAAAACTAAAATTTACCCCCTTTTATCTCTCATAAAAAAACACTGGATAAAATTACGTAATTTTTATGAAGTCAAAGTCTAATTTTACTGAACTACTGTGCTTTCCAGCCAGGGCAAATCGTGGCACGACTTTCGCTCGAAAGTTAACCCCCACATGATGCAGCCGCGAGCCGTCATCCCGCACATCGCGCCAATCAACGAGGTGGCCGTCGAATTCGTGGAGAAGATGCGAACGCTGCGAAATCCCGAGACCCTGGAATTGCCGGGCGATTTTAAGAACGAGCTGTACAAGTGGGCCTTAGAATGTAAGTTTGTCAGATATTTTACATAGATAGTTTTTTTACGCTCATCCTCTTCGAAAATATGGAGATGGAATATCGCGGGTTATGAAATATAAAACTCGCTTGCATAACAATAGAATTGATAAAGTAACTTGCACTCGCAATTCACTTTGCGGCACTGTAAATATACAAGAGGATCGCGACGCATTTGCAAACAACGATACGAGACGAGAGAGATGTATAGCTGAAAGTTAAAAATGCGCCTCTCTCTCTCTCTCTCTCTGACGAATAATAGGCAGTGTTGTGCTTAGATGATTTTAAAATTAGCTAGATAAAGATGAAATAAAAATATGTAAATTCATCTTACAATTAGATAAGATGAAGATGATTTTGTTTTAAATATATCTACATAAAAGATATAATTCATCTAGATAATTTTTTAGATGAATTATATCTTTTATCTAGATATATTTAAAACAAAATCATCTTCATCTTATCTAATTGTAAGATGAATTTACATATTTTTATTTCATTTTATCTAGCTAATTTTAAAATCATCTAGATAATTTTCTAGATGAATTATATCTTTTATCTAGATATATTTAAAACAAAATCATCTTCATCTTATCTAATTGTAAGATGAATTTACATATTTTTATTTCATCTTTATCTAGCTAATTTTAAAATCATCTAGATAATTTTCTAGATGAATTATATCTTTTATCTAGATATATTTAAAACAAAATCATCTTCATCTTATCTAATTGTAAGATGAATTTACATATTTTTATTTCATCTTTATCTAGCTAATTTTAAAATCATCTAAGCACAACATAATTTTCATAATAAAACTACTTACTATATATAAACACAGTTGTAAAAAAATGTAAATTATAAAAGGGATATAAAAATATATGTATTCATTTTTATTTATAAATTTTTTTCAGTATTTTGTGTTACAGTTCTGAACCAAAATTGTCTGAAAATTATTCTAGATAATTTAGTCAAACTTTGAAGATAATACTTTTTTCGATGTTTTTCAGAAAAGACGACCGATACTCGTGATATTAATATTTAGTCGATGTAAAGTTTCTATTGAACATTTCTATTATGTAATTTCGCTAATACTTTAATCTACCCTGAACGTGGCAAATATTATGAAAAAGAATAATTATAGTTTTCTGCATTTTCAAACTACCTTTTACCCTGGTTTACCCTATCGGACTCCGTCTGTCATTCGCCAATAATAATCTGTCGTTACGTAATTAACAGCAATATGTTCGATCGCGCTGGATTGCCGACTAGGGTGCTTAAAGTCTAATCTCGCCGCGGACTCGGAACCGCAAATAATGATTAATTGCGTGCATAAAATGTTCGATCTTATGTACCGCTTGGATGTTCTGCCGTCTATGTGGAGGCTGTACAATACGCGGAATCTCAAGAAGTTCTTCCATGTGCTAGATACGCTTAATGGGTAAATATTGAAACTTATACTCGTTATACTATACCATATATATATATATGTACCGCGTCAGCGTATTACTCGCAAACTCCTGCGAATTCGCCAACTTTTCATCGTCATTACCGTAATCCCCCGATATATATATATATATATATATATATATATATATATAGAGGGTGTCCGGTAACTAACGGACCAACAATCATAAATTCTTTGGTCAATTTGGGAACGATTTTTCCTCAGCGAAAATGTCGAAAAAGGTCATCATTTTTTACAACTTTCCAATATTTGTCATTATGCATCTTTATAACTAAGTGTCAAATTAAAATTTTATTATAGTAAACTCTACCTGAAATTAACTGAAGAATGTAATTATGTTAGACTTTTAACTCCAAAACGTTTAGTTTTCAAAAAACCCATTTTTTTCAATCGCTTATAACTCGAAAATTATTGACTTCTCAACATTTTTGCTAAGGAAAAATCGTCTCCAAATTGGCCAGAGAATCCGCCCTTAATCATTGGTCCGTTAGTTACCGGACACCCTGTATATATATATGTTTTTTATTTTTGATTGTAGAAAAAAATGTTTGAGACAAAAATTGGTCCGTTAATTACCGGACATCCTGTATATATATATATATATTTTTTATTTTTGATTGTAGAAAAAAATGTTTGAGATAAAAATCGTATGATTTTGAAGAGGACATAAAGAAGGTGGTGCCATTAGTTTGGCCTTGAATAGTTGCTTGAAGGTCACGTAAAGGTCACCTTGAGGAGATCTTGTCTTATAACTCAAAAAGTACTTGAGATAAAAATGTTTTATTATAGTGTTTTGAAAAGCTCTCGATGTCAGCTCCAAGAATATGTAATGAAAATTAGGTGGTTTCATTAAAAAATTAAAGGTGACCTTTACATGACCCTCAAGCAACTATTCAAGGTCAAACTAATGGCACCACCTTATGTCCTCCTCGAAACCATACAACTTTGTCTAAACATATTTTTCTACAATCAAAAATCAAAAACTTATTTGGGGTGGGACATTAAAATGGGACACCCTGTATATATATATATATATATATATATATATTCTCCGACATTTTCGTGTCGCGCGGCTATATACAAGTATGGCTCGTTATCAATAATGAATCGTGTGTCATCCGTAATTACTTTTTGCAGAATGACAATTAATGGTTCTGTGTCACACCGCTATGTTATATTAGAGTAGCTTTGTGCGCATATTAATAATGACAAGTTTCGTGCACAGGCATCGTATTATATGATAATGCAATTCAATCATTATCGGTTGACAATCTCCTCACAGTATAGGAAAATGTTTTCTTGTTAAAAACGCTTCCCGTGAAAATTTGTGTTAAATATTCAACACATTCGTGTGTTCATTGCTGTTATGTTAATTGAAATGTTAAATTATAAAATGACTGGAAAAATACAATGTGCATTTGCAAAAAATATTGATTTTTTATTTTATGATATAAGTGAGAATAATAAAATCTAAATTAATTTTTGCATTAAAATTACGCAAAATTTATTTGAAATTACTTGAAGTTTTGCATTTATTTTGTGTTGAAATATTAACGCAGCAACAAACTTATATTATGTTAAATTAACACTATTTTTTGGGACATAAATATCTGTTAAATTGAACTCAAATTTTTCAACTGTGCTTTCAGAATTGCCATTAAACATGTCGATGAGGCGAGGATGAAACTCGACGAGACGACGGAGAGCGATACGAATAACCGTAGTATATTGCAAAAACTCCTATGTCTTGATAAACAAATGGCTCGCGTTATGGCACTCGATATGCTGACAGCTGGTGTTGATACCGTAAACATGAGACTTTTATTTTGACGTTTATCGGAGATCGGAATCATTTTTTAACAATTTTGCGTATAAAATCCTTATCAAAATAAAAAAAAAAAATTTTTACCAATTTTTTAATAAATATAACTATGTTTATTTTTTTTCCACCAATCGATCTCTCTCATTATTTCGTGCATAAAGAAATTAAGGTAAAACCATCGAAAAATGAATATTTTACGAGATATTTCATATCGGTTTATGTAAAATTATATTAAATTAACGTATATAAAATATTTCACAAAGCTATATTCACTTTTTCACTATTTTTATCTTTATAACTTTTTATGTAGAATATTGCGAGGAATCGATTTATGTAAAAAAAAATATATAATGATTTTATATTCCACTCCTTCCGAGATATTTCGCTGCGACTCTTTTTTCAAAGAAATCTCGAGAAATCGAGAATGAGAATTGTTTTTAAAATTTTTGTCCGCGTAAAAACGAAGTATTAACTTCGCGGAGATAATACGATACGCTGCTTACATAGTTGGGTTATACAGAACTAATGATCTGTTACAGACCGGCAACATAGCCGGTAGCCTTCTGTATTACATCGCGAATAATCCGGAGAAGCAGGAAAAGCTGCGAGAAGAAGTGATGTCTGTACTTCCGCACAAAACGTCGCCCATCACGTACGAAATTCTAACACAGTTAAAATACGCCAAGGCCTGCATCAAGGAATCTCTTCGATTGTTTCCGGTCTCTATAGGCAATCTCAGAACCATGCAAACGGATGTCTGCATTGGAGGATACAGGATACCGGCAGGAGTGCGTGCCACATTTTCTTTTTTTAAATAGGATTTAAATTTTAATAGAATTTAAGTAGAATTTATTTAATTTTTTTTCCTTTATTTCAGAGAATAGTCCTTTGTTTCGAGAAGCTCTCTTTTAAATTTATTCATCTTTCCAAAACTCAGTTCTGTCCTTTATTCTTAAATACATTACAATTTCGTTCTTTATTTTTTATTTGCCGGTTTAATGTCTAATAATGTAGTATTAACACGAAAATTTGTACGAAAACAACGGAAGCTCTTATCCGGAATCCATTTAAGAAATTAAGGATTTATTTCAACATAGTCGAACCAGTTTCAAATTGTAAGAATAATACAAGTAGTAAACTGACGTCATTAAATGTCAAAATGACTTGCGTTTGCTACAATGTAAAAAAATATGTAAAATTACATGAAAAATATGTACAACTACAATACATAAATAATAAGTGTAAAATTACACAATAAATAATGAAAATGTATATACATTTTCATTATTTATCGTGTAATTTTACACTTATAATTTATGTAATTTTACATATTTTTATGTAATATATTACATACTTTTTTTAAGTGTACCTGGGACGTAGACTTCTGATAGTCACAGAATTATTTTTTTTTGCTCGTCGATCTCCACTTTGATCGCAAATTAATTTGGAAACATGACCTAAAGTGTTCAGATTTATCCTTATTTATTTTCAACGTATATAAAAATAAAAAAATTTCAACGTATCTCGCCAAGAGAATCTAACTTTAGATCGCTTATAGAAAGAATTTCATAAATAAAATCCTGTTAGACAATAACAACGTAAATGTTCGACAATCCTTCTTCGTTATATATATCTTATGCAGTGTTGTGCTTAGATGATTTTAAAATTAGCTAGATAAAGATGAGATAAAAGTATGTGAATTCATCTTAGATAAGATGAAGATGGTTTTGTTTTAAATATATCTAAATTATGAAAGATAAAATTATGTGGCAATTTATCTAGATAATTTTCCAGATAATAATTTTTAAGACTTATGCAAACACAGCTATAAAAAAAAATGTAAATTATAAAAAGAAATTCATATTTTTATTTATAAATTTTTATCGTTTACTGCTTAAGTTCTACTATTTAAATATTTTTATGTGCTACGATTCTAAACCAAAATTATCTGAAAATTACTCTAGATAATTTAGTATAAAGATAATATTTTTTTTATCTAAGATGCTGATACATATTTTTGTTATCTACATAAAAATGAGATGATGTCAAAGTTTCATCTAGATGATCATCTAGATAATTTTCTTTAGATAACAGCAAACACTGATTTTATGTCATCAGATCAACGTGCTCGCTTGTCATGCACTGATCACGATGGAACCTACGCAGTTTCCACGACCGCAAGAGTACATTCCCGAGAGATGGTTGCGAGACAACACGGAGTTTCCATCAGCCAAGGAGGCGCATCCCTTTGCGTATATGCCCTTCGGATTTGGCCCTCGCACATGCGCCGGTCGACGATTCGCCGAAATGGAACTCGAGACGTTGCTTTTGACGGTGCGTAAACTTTTTATTCCCCCGACTTATTACCAGGGTTGAGCAGATACTTCGAAACAAAATATTTAAATACAAGATACAAGACATATATTTAAATACTATTCAAATACTTTGGTTTTGAAATATATGCATTTAATTGTATTTAAATGCATTTATAAATACTTAAATGAAATAAATGCAATAAATGCATTTATTTAAATGAAATCAATGCAATAAATGCACTTATTTAAATAAATCAATGCAATGAATGCATTTATTTGAATGCAATAAATGCATTTACTTAAATGAAATAAATGAAATAAATGCATTTAAATACAATTATTTTGTTAATTTTCTGATTATATACTATATACTTAATATTAAAGTAATTACATAAAGATTATCTGCTATTATTTAAAAAATGAAATTTTGAATCATCTACTATTACTATTATTTAAAAAATAAAATTTACTACTATTATTACTATTACTTAATAGTATTAAATAATAGTATTTAATTACTGTATTTACTATTACTATTATTTAATACTATTAAATAGTGCTATTACTATTTAATACTATTAAATAATAGTATTTAAATACTGTATTTAAATAAGATACATATTTAAATACGTATCTCAGATACTTTAAGATATCTGCCCAACCCTGCTTATTACACAGTTGAAACATTTGTGTTAAATCCAACAAATATAGTTACATGTCTCAAATGGTCCACAGAAATTTTTGTGTTAATTTGAATATGTTAAATGTGATGGCACGAATACTGTGTTATTAATTTTAACATGAAATAAATGCAAATTTCAAGCAAACTTTATGTAAAATTAACTATAAAAAATAATTTAATTTTATATTTTATCATCTTTACTTATATTATAAAATAAAATCAACATTTTTTCCTGTAAATTTTAACAGATAAATTGTGTCTCTAATAACACGGAATACATTATTACTGTATAAAAGTAAAAATAGATGTACATTATGTTATTTTTACACTTTCTTCAGTTATTTTAATAATTTAACATTTGAGTTTAATTAACACAACAGCAATATTAAATTAACAGATAAATGTCTTAAATATTTAACATCAAAATTTTAATGAAAACTATATTTCAGAAAACACAAATTTTCCAAGTGTGTAAGAGTCGAAATCTCCCAAAATCCAGTCAATAAGATGACTTTAATCGCGTTTCATTTCGGAGGATAAAAACGGCGCCGATCAAAAACGTCCTAATAAAATCTTTCCGACCGTGCCTACATTTTCGCACTTGAAGTTAAACCGTCTCGACAAAAGTCCGAGAACATACTTGAAAGACGAGATTTTATAATCTGTTAACGAACGAATCATCTCATCTTACTAACAAATCTATTTGCTTTTCCTTTTATTTTATTTTTTTATTTTTTTTATTTATTGAAATCATTTATATTCCTTTGAAAAGTCAAAATAAAAAGTGTTGATTAAAATATTATTTAAAGTGATTTACATCTTAAATTTGCATCTCAATTATTTTAATATACAGAATAATAATTTTTTATCATTGCAAACGTCAAAATAACATAAAAATTTTATGCAATTTGATGTCATTTTGACAAACTAAAATGATCATATTTTGACATCAATTTGACATTTCTGTTCTCCTTGGTTTATGATTCTCTTTTGTATTGCTCGGAGAGAAAGCTAGCACGAGCAGCGAATATTTCGTTATCCTTATTGCATTTCGCTTGTTCGCGTATTTTCATACACATGTTCCGAGTCGGACGGAACAAATGTAAACATCCTTTAAATGGGTGCAGCGTGGAAAAAGCGATTTTTGCCGGTTCGTTTCCAATCCACTCGTTCGTCTTGCGCGGAAAACTACGCTCTCTTCTTTCCGAGCATGTTTTATTCATGCATGCTAAGCGCAGATGTTTAATAAGTTGAGAGGTTTAAACGCGCGCGCGAAAAAGTATATCGTATATGCAAAGATAATAACCGAAACGGACAATGTGCTCGCATAATATGCAGATTCTCTTCGAGCATTGGACTATGCGTGACTATGCATGGGCAATGAAATAACGATGTCACGCTCAAGTATAAATTTCCGAAAAGCTAAATATTCTCGCGGATTCTCACTCCGGCGCCGTTCTTCTCCTCCTGAAGAATTAAAAAGTATGATTCCACAACTCGACGCGGCAGTTTCATGTTAATATGCATACGTTTTTGCACAAATACCTATTTTCACTTATTATTATTTCACCCTTTATTATTGGATTGCAAAGTATTTCTCAATTTTTCTTTCTTTGTCGAAAATTCAGGGGATTTTTCATATGAATAAATATATATAATAGTATTAAATAGTAATAGTATTATTTAATAGTATTAAATAATAGTAATATGTATCTTATTTAAATACTATTATTTAATAGTATTAAGTAGTATTTAGTATTATTTAATAGTATTATATAGTATTAAATAGTAATAGTATTAAATAAATATAATTTATTTATTTAATACTATTAAATAATACTATTACTATTTAATACTATTAAATAATACTATTACTATTTAATAATATTAAATAATACTATTACTATTTAATAATAATAAATAATACTATCACTATTTAATACGATTAAATAATATTAAATACTACTTAATACTATTAAATAATAGTATTTAAACTGTACTTAAATACTATTATTATAGTAGAGTTAAATAATAGTAATATGTATCTTATATAATAATAGTATTTAAATATTATTATTATGTAAGATACATATTACTATTATTTAATACTATTAAATACTATTATATAAATAATACTATTATTATTTAATACTATTATATATGTACTTTTTTTGAAATTTAATTTTACGAACAAAACAGAAAAGTTTCTAAAAAAATCTTTCTAAATACCTACACAATTTTAGATAATGATGATTCCAGTTCTGTTAAACAGTTCTAATAAAAATTGAATAGGGGTTGTTAGTTTCATCCCCTTGTACAACAATACGTGAAGATAAAAAAATATTAATGAAATGAAAAGTATGGAAAGTGTCGAGTAGCGAGTTTCGGAATCACCCTTTTCAATTAAATCGCAGATTCCCGAGATGGTCCTCGAGGACAGAAAACACGTTTGCTTGCGCTACCCTCCCAATCGTTTTCGTCGCACGCGGCAAACAGCGAAAGGAGCGCACTAAAAGCGCGTTTGTTTTATCTAGGTCATACGAAATTTCCGGATCGAATGGCATCACGGACCGCTGAAGTACGAAAGCCGATATATAAACAAGCTCGCGTCGCCGATGCGATTCAAGCTCATCGATTTGTGAATGTCTCAAATCTCCTACAATCGAGACTCACGCTTTGTATTTCTCAGTCGGAAAACATCGTCCCTCTTTGTGCGTTTTATTTTATTTTATTTTTTTAATTATAAAGCCAGGAAATAAAACGCTACAATCGTTTGCGAGCTTCCGAAAAATCAACCGGAGTAAAAAGAAGACACCGTATACGAGTATATTGATCGATATATAGTGTATGATTCTTACAATTTTAATCTACGCCCAAGGATGAAGGCAGAAGGCACGATATTTCTCGGAATTTAATAGGAGTTTAATATAGAATCATTTTTAGGGAATTCGTAAAAAAACAAATATAAGAGTTCATGTTTAAATAGTACAGAAATATGAGAGATATACATTTATATACATAAAGCCATACATTTTTTAGATTTTGATGTTTATTTTACTAAATATTAATATCTCGATATTTTTTAAAATATTTATTTTACTAAAAATTGTCTTAAACATGATATATATGCCCAATTTTATACGTATGATTGTAATGTTAAAATGAGAGTGAGGAGAACAATATGAATAATAAATGCATTTTATTTTGTTGAATATTAATTTATTTGTGATGCCACTTTAATTATTATTAATGAAATAAAAATCTTTGTTATTGAAGAAAGTAATTTACGTAAAATATAGTAGCTGGGTACACAAGGGACGTAAAATAAATTGCCGTTATTTAGGCGCGCGCGATTCTAACGTCGTTATGCAACGCTAATTTCGTCACATCCGCGTCATTTAGCTTAATTTGATATTAATTTATTGAAAAAATTGCACGAATAAATATAAAAATGCGAACAAAAATAATAACCAGGTAAATAACCAGATAAATATATACTGGATAATTATTTCCGCAAAGGATTAATCGATTTCCTCTCCGAGAAATTCGAATTACAACGATGTTAAAAATACATTCGGCATTTATTTCTTTTAAATGCACGCGATGATCTTTCGGAAAGAAAGGACACGCCAACATTCATCTCCCCGTGACATTTCCATTATAATTGAGAATTAATGTCACATTAAGACACGTTGGAAATGTAATGTATAATGAAAATGTCCAGTATTTATGAGATATGTTGTTTCCCATCTTTTTCGTAGTATTTATATACTAGAAATCGATTACTTATTTTTAGTGTGCATTGATATAAAAAGAAGAAAGAGGAAGAATCTGTCTCGATAGTAAAGAGCTTCAATTATTTCCCGTTTCATAGAGTGGGGATTAATTTTTATATTCCCTGCAATTTTTTATTTAATTTTTTTTTATTAAATTTAAGCACAAACTCACAGACAAACAAACATGTTTGTTACTAGTTTTTCTTTGTTTCTTAATTAAGATTTCTGTCTGTAATAAGAGCAGGATGACGTGTAGGAATAATTTTGTTTTGCTTAAGCCTAGCTATGTTTAATTATGATTTTTAATTTATTTTGTCCTATTTTTAAAATTCCTAGACATTATCTCTTTTCCTCTTTTCTCTCTGTTTTTTTCCTTTTTATTCCAACATTCGAGAGTGAACAGAAATATATCAAACTTGTTCGTTTCTAATTATTTATCTATTTATAGGATCAATCAGTCAATTAGCTAGTGTTATTAGCAACGTTATTTTATTAAGAAAAAATATTTCAACGCATTCATTGCAAACGCGGTAAGTAATTTAAATAATTTTTTTACGCATCGATCATTCTTGAAATCATCGTTCATCAATAAAAAAAATAAATGTACTTTTATTAAATGGAAATTACTTATTCAGAACTGGAAAAATTACTAAACTATCACTGTAATTTTTCCATATTTTTAAAGTAAAAATACATGTTAATATAAAAATATATGCAAAAAAATATAAAGTAAAATTATTTTTATGCAAAAATTAGATGGAATTTTAAATTTATTATTTTTACTTTATTAGAATTTTAATTATAAATTTTATTTATATCATTATTTTATAGCATTTATACATTACTAGAATTTTCTATGTCTAATTCCATGTTCAGTGGAATATTTTTAATCTTAAAAATATGTAAGAATACATTTCATATAAAATTACATATAATCTGTAATCTTCCATAAGTAGCAATATTGATTATGTTGGGTCGGAAAAAACTTAGCATAATCATGTAATTTTACAGAAAAGTTTTTTCAGTATTCTTACTGTATGAACCTTTCTCGCAAAATTTACTATAATTATCGTGTTATAAAATCATCGTGTTATAAAAATTTCAGCTCTGCAAAATACATATATAATATATAAAAATTTTAACATAAAAATATATATAATATATTATATAAATATTTATATATATAAATATATATATACATATAAAAATATATAATATATTTATATAACACACACACGCACATATAAAAAATATACATATAAAAAATTTTATCGCGCGAATATTTGTGCGCATCATATATTTTGCTCCTACCGCGTCACCTTATTCATCTTTACTATAAAAATTGCAAACCAATTCTATCGATACAAAAGAGATTCCGATCGGAAGAGACATATAGAAGATCGTCGAATTTACGGAAAGGAGATACGCGGATTCAAAGGATTCTAGTAAAAGATTGCGTTGGATTTCAAATGCGCTTTGTTCCAATTTGATACTGCGTTACACGAGAGTGCATAATGTATATATGCGTTCGCAAATGTTTTCAAATGTTTCCTGTGTATTTCGGGTATCGCTGGTTTTTTTCTCTCTATTCTGATAGAGATAAAGCGGAAACGAAAGCGAAATTTAAAATTAATTTCGTCCGTTGCGCGATGCGATGCATATATTCTTTATTAAATTTCACGCGCGCATCCGCGCTTTTGTATATAGGATCTGAGAATTTTTTATGAACTTGATGATATCAAAGCGTTATTCTCTCTCTCATGCACTGCAGAATAAATGAATATTTCGAATAAATCAATTGTTTGTTAACCGGTACTCACTAATATTATCTTAATGCATTCCACAAAAAACAGCTTCAAATTAAATTCGACATTTTGCGTGATACTTTTTTTAGTTCAAATTAATATTATATTAATATATTATATATTTATTATATATTTTATATTATTTTATATATTTATATTATATATTTATATTATTATATATTAATATTTATTATACATTATTTTATATATTATTATATATGGTATTATATGTATTATATATTATTATTATATATTATTATATATATTATATATTTTATTTATTATATATTTTATAGATTATTATATACATTATATATTTTTATTGATATTATATTAATATTCCTAGATATAAATTTCGCGAACAGTTTCACGTATCTCGTAAATATACATAAATGACAAAATATATAAATATGATCTTGTGTATATATATTGAATGCGTTGAACTGACTTTATGAGATCGCTCAGTTAGAGCAGTAAATAATTATTTATTACTGCGGATACTTTGCAGAACGATAAAATCAAGAGGCACTGAATAAAGCATGATGCGTGTTAGGTCTCCCATTCGCGAGATCAACGGCTCGTGTTTGCTGTCGAGATTACAACATCACGTAAGATCGACCGCAGCTTGTCCTATCAACATAATGAAATGAACAATGAAGTGCAACACACGCTGCCGACCAAGGATATTCCCAGCTAGAAAGCGTTGCCCTTGCTTGGCAATTCATTCAGATTCATACCGTACACAGGTAAGATCTTTTCTCTTATCGCAAGCTCGATAAATTTTTCACCCTTCCTGTGAACGTGCGTGTGTTTATTCTCTTCCGTTTATTATAAATATATTTTATATTATATATTTTATATATTTTATATGATATATTTACTATATATTTTATATTATATATATTTTATATTATATATTATATATATTTATTATATATTTTATATATTATATTATATATATATATTATTTATTATATATATTATATATTATATTATATTTATATTATATATAATATTTTATATTACTTTATATATTTATATCCGTTTTCTGATTTAAATATGAGATTTAAGCGAAATCGAGTAGAATATAACTCTGCGTATAAGAATTGATGAACTAGTACACAATGTATATATTATTAATTAAACAAACATGTTGATTGTTTAAATTATTTTTAAAAATTTGCATTTTATATATTTTTTTATATTCTAAACAAATATACAGGATGTCCCGAAATTCGCGAATCATATGTTAATGACAGATTCCTGTACAGTAGAAAAATTTGTTTTCTTGTCAAAAACAGTCCCCATTTAACAAAAATTTTTGTGTTAAATACTTAACACATGAATGTGTTAATTCAACATATTACTGTTCTGTTAATTAAACTTAAATGTTAAATTATTAAAACAACTAAAATAATGTAAAAATAACAATGTGCATCTATTTTTAATTTTACACAATAAATATGTCCTGCTTTATTAGTGACAAGATTTTTATCTGTTAAAATTCACAGAAAAAATGTTGATTTTCTATTTTATAATATAAGTGGAGATAAAAACATTTAAAATTAACATATTTTCTGTTAACTTTTACATTAAAAGTATGTTAATTTTACACAAAATTTATTTTAAATTATTTGAAGTTTTGCATTTATCTCATGTTAAAAAATTAACACAATATTTGTGTCTCCATTTAACATATAAAAATTGGGAACATGTAAAAATGATGGTCTCCCGATATTTTCATTGAGGAAAAATCGTTTCCAAATGATCCCAGGAATCTGTCATTAACAGATGATTCGTGAAATTTAAAGCACCCTATATATACATAATAAAGATCTAAAAAAATCTCAAATTAAAAATAATAAAATATATTACTCAGTTATATATTATATTAAATATATTATATAATTAAAAATAATATTAAATATATTATATTAATAATATTATATATAATATATAATTAAATAATATTAAACATATTATATGTATAATATTAAATATATTATATAATTAAATAATATTAAATATAATTTAATTGTATAATATTAAATATTATTTAATTATACATGTATTAAATAAAATTATGCAAAAAGAAAATTGAAAATTCCACAAGTAAGCAGATATTTATGAATGACGTTCTACGTATAAAGAAATATCTTGTAATTTCAATGCGGTTTATTATCACTCTAAAAAATCTAAAACAAGTAATTTTGCGAAACAAGCTTCTCAACTCTCGAGAGGCAATATCTTTACTCGCAAGACTTCACTTCAACGAGACTTATCTGATACGGCCAATTTTGCAAGTTACGTTCTGTTGAAATTTTAGATTAATAACGCAGCTATTATACGGTTTTCGATTAGTGCGAATAAATAAAGGCATTTTCTCTCTCGATTCACCATGATCGATCTATCAAATATTAAATATATTAAAGATCACTATCATGAATATTCGTCATC